AACAAGCTGGGATTATATGATATATACTCGCCAGCTTGAGGGGGAGTGTTAGTGTCGAGTATGTAGGGGTATTTCTGTCTTTATACTTATGTTGAGGTTGTTGATCTGTAATATTATATTAGAACTAGTTTCCCTCACTTAAGTAAGGGCATATGTGTCTTTTCCATTATGTTAGTAATATAAAACATGTCTGGCCGAATGAGAGAGGTAATTTTTCTCTCATTCGAACCAAACTTTTCTTCTCTCCTTTCCTCCTCTTTTCTCTCTCTTTCTTTCTTCTTTCTTCTTCTCTCTTCTTGGTTGTTATCAGACTAACAGAACTCAAGGGCAGGTCGAATCATAATAAATATATTACGTTTTTGCAAAAGCATAGAATATACACAAGTGTAATGAGAATTATGAGGTTATCTATTATTCCATGACCATTCAGTAAATGAAGTACTAATGCACATGATATACAGCATACTTTCCTCAGTCAGTTAAATCAAACTTAGTTCTTTCCAAAAGAAACAGAAAGAATACATGATCATATTCATGAAAATAAGTACAATGTAATATGAAAAGAATTGGAACTAACCTTGAGGCTAATCTTGATGCCTTGGAACTGTTTAAAGTCCCAGAGACAGCCTCTCTTATCTTTCTAATCAACTCATTTGAGGAATCCTTTTTCTGCTCAATGTAATGAAGGGCTTCTAACCACCACAAGTTTTGTTGTTTTTTTCTATCACTGAGTGCCTCACAGACCTTCAAAAACATGAAAGAATTGTAGACATCAACTGAAAATGTCAAGAACTAAACCTATACAGGATTACAATATAAGATAATAGATAATAAAACTAAATTACTTTAGCATTTAAAATATTCTTTTGATACAAGAAGCTTTGACTTTTTTTTTTTTTTGCTTTTTACCCCAAATACAAATTCTTACCAAATATTCATCTTGAGCAAGTAAATCAGAAAAAGCATGTACTGATCTTTGTATGCAAATGAACGAAGAAGCATTGCCTATTGAAAGTTGAAAATAGAATTTCATTTAATTACTAGTAGTTAGTTATACAGATACAATTTCCATGGCGCCCTTCAGATGGCAATTGGAATCAAGTACAATTTCACTCTAAAAAGCCCTATAATAAGGAATTCTAAATATAATCCCCAATTCCCTCAAGGGAACGAGTATCAAATTGAAAATGGCTTGAGAGTCAGCTTCTCATTTCACCTATGGTGTGGAAATAATCCCCTGAAGACAGGTTTCCCCTCCCTCTTCTTGATTGCACACTCTTGACAGCACCACATTTTAGACCCCATTTTCAGGAGGTCCCTAACAATTAGGAAATTGGACCTCTCATGGAGCTTTTGCAAAGACTTAAAAGGTTCAAACAAAAACCTGACCAATATAGAACATAATGGGCCTGGGGTACTGTAGGTCAGTTATCAGTCAGATCATTTTCCATCAAGCTGAACCCTCCAGCAGCTGCCCCCTTTCCTATCTCATCATCCGGTAGCCCTCCACCCCTTCTAAAATCTTTTCCCTGGCTTGGACTGCTACCCAGAAAACTGTCTCATCATTGATAGGCTCTTGTTGAGAGACACGGTGATTGAAGATACCAGCTGTGTTTTGCGCCAGGATATTGCTGAATCCCATAGCCACCTTTTCATTCACTGTAAGGTCTCAGATGTGTTTTGGGTGGTGGCTCTTGATATGTTTTTTTTTCACTTTCCAGAGACTTTAGAATCAATTTCCAGAGGTGTTATGTGGCTTCTTTTTCCTTTAGCAATTGTCTAGATGATCCAAGGCGAGAAGAACGCTTGCATCTTTTAGAACAAAAGTTGCAGCACCAATGAGATTAAACTCAAACTTATAGATACACATGTTTGGCTAGGCATATATCTTGCAACTCAAACTTCACTTAATCTTTTTCCACATATTTAGCGGCAATAATGCTGTTGTACATAACCCACTGCACAGATCCTCAGTGTACATGGGCTCCTGTACTTTTTTAGAACTAATACAATTATTACTTCTCTCAAAAAGGTAAGTCCTGTAGTAAGACTGGTCCACACAAACATATAAATAAAAAAAATATGAAGACCAGGGGTAGGTGTGCTACTCGGATCATTTAGTAAAAGACTTTAAATGAAGAAAGAAAATTTCCACATCACAATATGGTTGAATGCCCAAATGGACCCCACATGTTCCTCCCACTGCCCTATACTCAAGGGGAAAGCTTCAGCTCAAAACCCTTTGCCACATGGCCAAAATAAGCAATTATTTTGGGGCATTTTAAAAGAAAATCCTGAAATATTGGGCTATTATACATAGCCAACCTAGAGGGTCCTCAACCAGATGGATGGTTCAGATCAGAGAGAAATGACTACACATGGCAAAAAAATGTTGGCCCATCTAATGAGTCTCCCTTTTCAGTGAAGAACAAAGAATTTTTTATCAGTAAAATAAACTTATATTAATTTAAAAAATATAGGCAGTACAAGAAACCCTTAGGCATGAGGTGCTGCCTCTCCCAAAAAACAGTAAAATTACATATTACAATTGAGCTGTTGAGCCCAGTACAACTGATTTCTGTTCACCCCTTGCTTAATTAAAGCATCTTCCATTACATTCACCAACCTCCTCACCCACTGTATCCTCAAATTCATATTTCAAGAAAACCATTTTAATCTCTTTACCTCATTCCTAAAAACCCATATTACAGACTCTGGTTCATTCAGCCAACCTACCACCAACTCTGAATCCCCTTCAATCTCCACGTTTGCCAAATTCAATTCATTTGCAATTTGTACCCCTTGAATTACAGCAAGCAATTTGTCCCTAGTGGAGTCACCCACTCCCACTAGACCCGAAAACAAAGCAATAATGTCCTTTATCTCTTATCACCCCTCCTATTGCAGAGGATCCTGGTTGCCTTGACTACTTCCATCAAAATTTAGCTTCGCATAACCATATACAAGAAAATTTACAAGCCATATACAAGAAAGTGAAGATTAAGAAAATATATACCAAACACAAAGATCAAAGACCCCAACCAAAAGCTAAGATCCTTTACTCTCTCACCACCATATACAAGATATAGACAATAATGCCAAATAATAAGCAAGCCATAACCCAAAAAACAACTTGCCACCGGACAATGCAATTCCTAATACAGCATAAGTCATGCTCTTCCACACGCATACCCACCATAATGATAATTCAGATCAGACATCAAATTCCTCCACATGGTAAAAATAGGTCAACCAATCTAGCAAATCTCCCTTTTTCATGGGAGAACGAAGTTTACAAGCCATATACAAGAAGTTAAGATAAAGAAAATATATACAAAAAAACAAAGACCAAAGACCCCAACCAAAAACTAAGAGCCTTTACTCTCACTTGCCACCATAACCAAGATATAGACAGTAATGACAAGGATAATAAGCAAGCCATAACCCAAAAAACAACTTGCTACCACACACACACACCATAATGATAATATGTTTGCTGATTCTAAAGCGCTAAAGTTACCTCTCACTAAAACAGGCTCAAATGTAAGCATACAATTCCTGCAACCAATCCAAGACATAAAGCATCAAGTTCACAAAGTCACATTCTATAGGACTCCTTTTCCTCTGCCATGGCCTAGTGTGGTGGGAGTCACTAAGGTGGTCTACATGAAAGACAATAAATGGTGGACGGAGGCTTCAGAAGATTTAAAATGAGAGAGAGCAAGGGAGCTGAGATTCCAAACTGGTAGAGCTTACACGAGGTTGAGGAAGGATCGTGTGGGGGATCCTCGGAGACCCCTATTTATAGAAATTTCCTTGGGAAAAGGAGGAAAATTTTTCCACTTTGGGAAAGTTTTTATGAGTTCGTTGGATTTGGGGTACCTAGCCAAGTTAGGGTTTTGCCATGTATCAATGCAGTTATACTAGTACTTGAGTTCCCGCTCTTTCCTAGAGTCTGCATTTGAGCACGTGTAGCTACTTCCCTCTTCTAGAACTTTGGATGGATGTACCACAGGATGCATCACTCTAGAAAATGTCTAAGTGACTATCGTGATAACTGCGATGAGTGGCATGGAGCCAAAGTATAATCGCAAGACAAGGTTGTGGAGGTTTATCATTTTCTTATTTGTTAGGATTTGATAAATACAAACATTGCTAAATGCTGTATTGAACCCTCAAAGACTTTAAAACCTGAACCAATAACTAAGGAACAACTTAAAATTTTGTCTAATCAACACATTTTCTACGACTACTACTACTACTACTACTTTTTTCTTTTCTTCTTTTCCTATAACAAAAATAAGGGTTCAGCCCCTATATTTTTTGAATTTTCTTTTCCTTCTTTTTTTCTTCTCATGAATATGTTGATTTTCTATACTTTAACATGAACTCTATACTTTTCTTATGAATAACTATTAAGGAAACATGGCTATGGTACCTAGGAAACTACCCCAGGATCTATGTTTTCTATATAAAAAAATCCATCGCCTAGGCGTTAGCAACAAGGCACCCCCCTGACGCCCAGCCTCGCCTTGGCGCCTTGAAAGCTATGGAAGCGAGGTCATGGGACTATGACAGGGAGGAACGAAACTGCAACACTGGATTGCAACGGTCTTGGGATGTGAGGTCATGGCGCCACAACACATCGCAAATGTCTTTATTGCAACATGAGATATGAGGAAATGCAATGGGAGGTTGTGACACAGTGCACTATTATGAAGTCTCTCTGCGATGAGAGATGCCAGGACAGCAAGCATGGGAAACAACTGCACTAGGAACTTGGCATTACTGCCTTACTATCTCGTCACGTCGTTATTACTCATGCACTAGATACCCATGTATCTTTGTGGTAGGTCACTCATCACAGATGGTGCAATGTCTAATTTCATGTACTTACACCTTACCTCCTTCTAGCTTAATGGTTTAGGTCCACTCCTTCCTATGCTAAAGTATATCCTTCCTACTCCCTAGTCCCTACTGACCCCGGTGTTCCCTCCTTCCTCCTTGCATAATCCTTTTGTTCAAGTCTATCAATAGTGTGGTTCAGTCATCCACACTTCCTATACTACAATTTCAGATGCCTTGCAAACATTTCCTCCCAAAGAAGCCATTGCTTGGTGCAATTGTTAAATATTGGGCTACCTATCAAAAAAAAAAATTGTTAAATATTGGGTTAACAAGCATGAGAATGTAGTCTACATGTGAGTCTGAAAGCAGCACCTTGTGAAAAAAAAATGCCTAAGGTTATGTCCATATCCAGTCACCACTCCCAGATAACTGGGACCAACATTGAGTAATGGCTCTTGTCAACCATTTCTTCCCTACTGACTGTTCCCTCGCTCACTCAGGCTCCGTTTGGTTTGTGGGAAGATTTGGGTGGGATGGGAAAGGATGGGACGGGATGGGATAGGAAAGTGTAAAAATTTAACTTTCCATTGTTTGGTTTTATATGGGAAAATAGTAGGAAAATTACCATCACAAAATAGAGTTCTCAGAGGTTCAATCAACAGAGTTCTCAGAGGTTCAATCTGCAGAGACCAATCCGTTGTTTGGTTTCCCTTCATCGCTAGTGAATGCCTTGGTGAGGATCGTGCGAAACTAGAATCCCTCGTGCGAAACTGGAATCTCGTGTCTACGAACCCATATCTAAGTTCTACCATGGCAGAAAACCTCCGATCTATGTTTGCGTCAATCTAGGTTCTACCATGGCAGAAACATCTTCAATCTGTGTCTGTGAACTCAGA